ATGTGGTAACTAGATATAGGGTAAATTTCGAAGTCCTAATTTCATTTCGGATAGTCAATAATCCTGACTCGTGTATTTTTTGTATTTTTTTCTTTTGTGTGTTGCTTAGAATGACTTTGTCATATTTAGTTTAATAATTATTTTAATAAAAACATGTAATTAGGCTACGCCTGTTTCTTAAATAAGTAACTAAATAAATAACATCATCCTCGTTATTTGAGGATTAGTTTAATGTTTATCTTTCATAAATTGAAAAATTTGTTTTGCTATTTTTAAGTATAACTAGTTAGTAGAAAAGTTATTTGTTTTTAATTTAATCATTTAATTTTACTACCTAATTTTATAAAACATAAAAAAATGCAATATTATGCAATACGGTATTCTTAATTTAACACCATTTTGTTTCTTAGATACTCAATTGCAGTTTTACAGTTATATTTTTTATTTCTGCTGGAGTCTTCGAAGACTTGGCATGAATCGTGGTAACTAGCAATGGCCTAGAATTTGTTTACAAATACTTAATTCATCTTGACCCAAAATTATTCCAGACATATTTTTACTTTGTTATTTCCAGAAAACCAGTTATATGAAAACAAATATTTTTTGTTGCACATCAAAAATATTCAGAGATTTTGAAATTCCACTAATCAATATTAGTAATTTATTCCTGTAAGATATTTATAATTTATAGAATCCATGACAGTTTAAAAATATATAACATAAAAAGTAACTAAAACATTAAAATTTGTTTTAGTTGCACAGGAAACTGTAGCTAAGTGTTATTTTATCATGCAAGAAGTCGTCTAAATTATATTTGACGAGTAGTATTTCTTTGTCGGTCTTTTTGAACATATTTATCTTCATGAACGTTATCGCTAGCAGTAAATAATACATTTTTATTCCATAAAATGTTATAACAGTATACATTATATAGTTAATGTATTGATGATTAACAATTAGCAACACTCAAATAATTATTACAAAGATAGTTCAGTGTTTTATAATAAGATAGACTGATAGTGAGGAATATTTATGAGGCATATTAAAAATAGAAGGAAAATATTGTACCATATTGTTTTGTAAGAAAATAAATTATGGACCAAAAACGAAAATATAGAATCATTGTAGAAAATAGTAGTCATTAATAGTAAAAAAGGCGCTGATACGATGAAAAGCAATGACTAATAAAGGGGTAAAAAGCTTTTACAGCTTTTACAGTAAGTATTTAAATGTGACCCTATCTAAAAATATTGCGTTAATCTTTGAGTATGAAGTACCTAATTTTGTAGGAGATAATAACTATATATTTTAAATGGGCCTAATAACAATGGCCAACAAAATTACACTTTTTGACTGATGAATGACTTATTTCACATGATATTTACTAATTTTAACCCATGAACCACCATGACGATTGATATTTTCGTTTAGCGAACATAACTGGTTTTAACCGAAAAAATCGAGCCAAATGGGAATATCCTTCCATACAATCGGCACATAGACGTGTCTTGAGCCCCAAGTCTACACCTGAATTTCAATCTGGTACTTTACAGAAAGAGCCAGAAGATTTTGAGACGAAAAACGACAGTAGTGATAGTGACTTTGAATACGACCTGGGAACGCCAAAACTATTTACAGTTCACCAAATTTCTAGAGGTGTTCGACGCCCAGACAGAGAACGCGCTACGTGTGACTAAGATAGCTATTGTACAGTCTGCTAAACAAGTTATTTTAAATAGTTTTTAATATTTTTAGGTAATTAAATTTTAAAAGTGTGGAATAGTTTAGGGATTAAATTGGTCTGATTGGACTCTCTTAGAACGTTTTTAAAAGCAGCTAAAGATAGTATGTAGAATTGAAAATAATTATTATGCCATAAAAGGTGTTTTGGAATTCCTTCAACCTTTTGAAATTGAGTTAGAAAATATAAATTTTATAGGATAGCGGAAAATACCTATAATTTTTTTGTAGGCCTTTGTAAATCGTGGAAATAGTTTATATTTTATTTCTACCTTATTAAGGATAATGGTACCTATTATTAATAACGGTTGTTTCTGAAACATTACTAAAATTTTCGAAATTTTGTTTTTCTACAAAATAATAAACTATACTATTTAGAAAAAAATTTATTTCTCTTATAATTTTATAAAAAATAACAGGGGAATATTTACATTTCTTGATCTATTAAACAAAACGATAAATTATCTCGACGAATGACACCATGTTCTAGTACGGTAGCTAGCTTTACATTTTTGTTGGTGGTTTCATGGGTTTCATATCAATTTTTTGTAATTGTAGTTTACACGTACATATACCTCTTAACACTTGTTTGCTTTATTAAAAAAGTATGTGTTTGATGTGTTTTTAGATACTCCTGTGGCTGCAGCAACACGATCATTTACATTTTTAAATGGTATTGAAGGTGAATTAAAGTTTCCTTCTCTTCTCATAAACTCTATAACATTGGCTATTATTTCGCGAGATTGACTGTTAATCACGCGGCCTCTTAATTTGCTATTAAACTCCATACTTAGGTTCTATTAAACTGTAATGAGCAAAAAACACAAACGAAAATAAAAGAAATGTTTTAGCGAAATTTACATCTGACATTTACGTCTGAATGAAATAGTGAAATACTTGATGCGCAGAGTGTACTTTCATTGCGTAAATCCGTCGGGATGCCTGTCAGTAGTGCTTTCTCTGTCTAGCCGTCGAAAGCCTCTAGAAATTTGATGAACTGTAATCAAGATGATTTAAACGACTTAATTAGAGATCTGGAACTGTCAAAGTCAGCTTCAGATATTTTTGCTTCGAGGCTAGAAGAAAGAAAATTGGTAACGAAAGGAACTAAAATTTCTTATTAACGAAGAAGACACTTCCGTATTTTGTAAAGATGTACCTGGATTGACGGCTGCAATGGGATTACAAAAATATGTTTCTGGTGAGTGGCGTTTATTCATAGACTCATCAAAACGGAGTCTAAAATGTGTTCTCTTACACAATGGAAATAAATTAGAGTCGTTACCTATTGCACATTCTACAAAAGTAACACAAAAATATACAACTATTGCTCTGGTTTCGAACAAAATTAAATATGTAGAAAATAACTGGATCATATGTGTTGATTTAAAAATTGTCCACTTTCTATTAAACCAGCAAGGTGGTTACACAAAGTATCCTTGTTCCAGGACAAAACGTGATAAACCCACCTTTAGTGTCAAGAGATCGTATAATTTTGCCCCCGTTGCATATAAAATTAGGGCTTATAAAACAGTTTGTCAGAGGTCCTAACAAAACTAGAAATTGTTTTCTATTTCTATTAAAAAAAAACTGAGTAAAGAAAAGATAAAGGCGGGCATTTTAGATGGGCCACAGACAAAATCATTAATAAAAGGCACAAAATTTTTAGACACTATGTCAGAAATTGAGAAAAACGCATGGAATGAGTTTGTTTGGCTTGTTCAAAATTTTTTGGGACATAAGAAAAGTTTTAACTATTCTCAACACGTTGAACAACTAATGAGTCACTTTCAAACCCTTGGATGTAACATGAGCATCAAGTTGCACTTTCTTCACAACCACCTAGATTATCTTCCCGCTAATTTTGGGGATCTAAGTGAAGAACAGGGCGAGTAATTCCACCAGGACCTTCATACGATGGAGTATTGTTGCAGCATTCAGAACAGTTCTATGGGTTCAACCTCTGCAAGGAAGTCTTATAAAAGAAAGATTTTTTCACCTTAAGAACTAAATAACATATGATTAACTTTAAACAAATTGTGTTTTACTATAAAACGGCCATGTGTCATGTTTTCCAAACTAGAGTTAATACAGAAATTTAGATTACAGGTTTAAAGTCTTCATTAAAAATTAAGCTAGTGTCATGTAATATAACTCAATCATCAGAAATGCTGTTGTGCAGTGTAATAAGTGATAAAAGTCACAAAATTAAAATGAATAATGAAGCTAAATAATCACTTAGTGAAGGCAAGTGAAAAAACAATGACACACTCCACTTGTCATTATGATTCCAAAGGAAGAAGACGAGAAATATCTAGAGCAAATGGGATGAAAGAATTGAAAATTAATTTAAAAAGGACAAAAGTTTAATATATTAAAAAAGGATTGTCAAAAATCAGAATCTTGGTTAAATCTTCTAAAACACATAGACCTAGAGAGCTTTAAAAGACGAGTTTTGATCACCAAAAAAATATAAAGATGTTCAAATCGTCTACTACAAAACATTTTAAAATTAAAACTAATATACAAGAAAAAGAAATGAAGGACTAGACAGAGTTGAAACATAGTTATTACAGAAGCTATGGAAAGATTTATAATAGGAAATCTTTCCTAATATTAAGCCGATGATGCTGAAATGCGGTGACTGTCGACACAATATGATTTATATTTATGTAAATTGAGAATTTTTTGTAGTTTTTGAAGATGCTATTGGCAATAATAAATATTGCTCTTCCCGTTTTTCGTAAAATGTGTTTTAAGGTTTGTAATGTGTCTAAAATAAAATATAATCGAAAAATAAGTAATACAATTGTTTAATTTGTTCAAAATTTAGCAATAATTTCTTTGGATTATTAGAGTTATTCATTTTACAAAATATCAATGATTTGTGTGAACCACAACCCATTTTAACGCTTTGACATTGTAATCAAAAGTCCAGAATACTTAAAAATAGATAGTATCGACAGTGTAACAACCTCCCATTTTTTATTTGTAAGTTTTACGTCACACATTCTACGATTGAATAATTTTATAAGGACGGATTAATTATCTGCTGCAATTCCCATATTTTGAACATTTTATAGTTTTAAAATAGTACAAATATTATTAAATAAGAAAAAATAACTAAATTTAAAATTCACCACTATATCCAAACAGGAAATTCTATATTAGGTAATCCATAAATTGACAGCGCACACACACAAAAAATCAAGGTAGGCAATGAGACGTGACGTCAAATCGATGACGTAGTTCGTTCCTACCTGTGGATCGAGGGTGAAATCGCGTGCAGAAACGGTGGTGCACCACTTGGCGGACTTAGAGGACGCGGTTCGACTGACCGGGAGAGATGAGACGACGCCGACGTCGCGATGCTATAGATAGAAGCGGTCCAAGACTGCTCAGATATCAGACGAGGAACATTCGAGTTGCAGTGGGTACGGTCGTCGATTTTTAATGAAAATAAACCGACCACGCGGTTTTCTTTTTTGTAACTGTCTTTTTAATGAATCATGACCATTTGGTACGATTAAAGATATATTTGCATTTAATCGATCTGATATATGTACCTACTGCTGAAAATTTATAAACATAATCAATTGCCAGATATTTAAAATGTTTATTCTAAAAATATGATATAGTGTAGTCGACCTTTATTTTATTAAAAAAATTCAATATTCATGAAAATTTTACATCTACGTTTTTAATCGACCAAAAGTTTGTATTATTTTTCCTTCTGTAATGAGCGAGCTGAGATTACAGCGATAATAGATTAATATTTTTGGTAAATATAATAAAAAAAAACCAAGTGAAAGAAAATATAAGTTACACAATCTTAATAAATACAACTCATATAATTGATTCTTTTTATTTCCTTTTAATTTTTACAACTAATATTAATAATAACTATTTGTTTCCCAAAATCGAAGGAATTTTGTTTTTTGATAATCTTCAGAGCTATTATTTCGAAAATTTATAGTGGTTGTACAGAAATTTTACTTGAATTAACATGCCATGTCATTCTAGTTACCGTTTTGGATATGAAATAATAAAAAGGTTAAGTAGACCATGAAAAATCTAACTTTTTGGAGCCTACAATTTTTTTTTCTTTTTAAATGACAGTTTACATTTTATTCAGAGACGTGAGTAGTTATCACAACCGGTGGAAAGTAATCAGCGACTTTCTAGCAGCTAGTTTACCGGAAACACCCGAACTCTCAGTGGCGTCGGAATGTATTTTTATGTAAAAAGAACAGTGCATTGAAATACTACTAAATACTTAGTGATTTTGTTAACTTTTTAAGGTTATGTTTTACAATTTTTAACAATTCGGCACTAATTTTATTTAAAAATCATTATCTTCATAGGAAAATTGATTTTTTATTGGAAATTAATTTAATTTGAACCTCTTATCCCCTTCCTAAGTGATTTTGTAATTTTTTAGGATGTAATTTGTAGTTTTTAATAATTTAGTATTAGTTTTATTTTAATACTCATGTTATCTTCATAGAAAAATTAATTTTTTATTGGATTTTTAATGGAATGTTATTCAATTTGACCCTCTCTTAAATGAATTTGTAAAATTTTTTAGGTTGTATTTTTTAGCTTTAACCACTTTGGCACAATTTTAAATTCAATACTCTGTTATCTTCATAAGAAAATTAATTTTTTAAAAAGGACAATTATTTCATTTTACCAATTCATTTTCTCTCTAAGCTTTTTTTTTTGTTTCTCAACAACTGGGAATTCGGGTATTTCCGGTAAACTGGTTACTGGAAAGTGGTTGATGACTTCACATCAGTGTATGCGACCATATATCTCTCTTTGTGACTCATAGCATACTTTAAAAACATTCGACGCATCAAATTTTGAGATTTCAAAAGTTACACAAAGCGCGTAGCGCCGCGTGTATCATTTGAATAGTAAATTTTTGCAAATTAAAAGTATACGAAGTTTAAAAACATGTATATAATTAAATAATGTCATTAAATACATCATAATTTTCAACTAAATAGTATTCGGTAAATTGTTCTTGCCCGGGTACATCTATTTGGGGTTGTGGATCTAGCATCTGTTTCAATACCATATTACGAGTCCAGAATTTAAAATTTCTTTGATTGAACTTTTACTATGGAGGGTAGAGGAAAGGAGAACAATCTCTGTATACAAAAAGTGTCCCTCAAAATGTATACAATTAAGATGGCGCTTCTGTGCCCAGGGGACGTCGACAGTCGATAATTCAGATCACACAATGACACCAATGATGTATATAGTAATAAATATTGCTCAACCATAAAAAACTAAAAACTACACCGTGAAAAGTGACTGATCGTAGAAGAGTAAGTGTTCTGTGATCGTAGATAAATTTTGACAATACACGACAATAGTCAAATTTTATTGAAAAATAATAATATAAACAATAAATAATTCTTATATTAAAATGGCACGGAGGTCTCAATTTACTGCTTCCTGTCTGATTTAATTATGAATGAGCAATCTATATGACTATATAGCATTGGATTTTGTCCCCTGGCTACACGAGCGCCATCTTAATTGTATACATTTTGGTGGCCACTTTTTAATATAAAGATCCATATAAGATTGTCCTCCTTCTCTCTACCCTCCATAACTTTTACGTTTGATTCGAGAGAATGCGTAAATACATCTGTCGTTAGATCAATACCGATTAATTCGAAGGTTTGGCCTTGTGACTTATGGTCATAGCAAAAGCTGGCCATACAGGGAATTGGTGGCGTTCCATGGTGAATCCCATTCGTCGAATGTAGGCACCTCTTCCTTTGTGTTCTCCACTCACGATTTTGGTCAAGATGAGATTTGGTTCCAACTTGGTAATAATTAAACGTGTCCCATTACAAAGACCATTTACATGTATATTTTGTATAATGATGATTATAGAATTTTTCTTTAACTTTAAATCGTGTGAAGGTAGATCTACCGGATTTCTGCTTCATAAGTCCACTCCTCCCAGTTGGTCTTTTACTGTATCAATACTGGTATAGACAACTTCATTTTCAGAGATTCGCTGATGGACCGTATCATTGTACAAGCATTCAAAGGTGTCAAAATGGCTCGATGAAGGACGTCTTGTATACAGTTGTCATAATTTGCAAAGCAAGCTTCATACACATCTTCTACCAGGTCTTAATTTGAAATTGTGATGCCACCCATTGTAAAAAATTGGAGATCACTTCTCCTTCAAGCTAACATTTAGGATTTAAGACGGATTTATAGGATGCTTGATCCAGGTGTTCCGGAAGTTGATTCATCGAGAAATTTATAGTTAATTGCTTATTGATTGAAAAGTGTTTTGATAACAACGGTAATTTGACAGACATACCAAAGTATATTAACCGTTGACTAGCGACAGCTGGGGAACCGAATTCTAGTGCGCCGACGCGAAATAGAGAGGCGAGACGTCTTCTAAAGATGTAAACAACCCCTTTCACTTTGGTCCGGCAGCTGATATAGGAATTCATTGTTGTGGATTTATAAGTGCTCTTTTATTGTGTCTTTGTTAAGATTTTTTGAGGTTCTGTGGGTTTTTCATTATGCCAGGAAATGCATGTGCTATAAGTGATATATTTTTATATTTACTACATAAGTTGAATACTCATAAATATAAAACTGCCTAATGACCAAACCTTTATTATAAAGATAAACTACAAAAGAGTTTTACTTCAAATTACGTCGAGCAGTGTAAACATCACATTCAAGACCAGTTCATAATTCGAGCAGTGTTTTACTGTGTAGTTCCGTCAAAACGTCAAAAGAGAGGGAACGAAAATTTGCACCACCCAAGATCAAAGGCACCGACGCTTTATGTCGCTACTCAACGACATACAGACATTGGCACTTTATAATATAGTAGGATAACACAAAAGTAGAAGAAATTTAAATGGTAATAACATATATTTCAATACTTATCAAACCGTAAAAAATGTAATCGTAAATTTTCTTATTTCATAGGTAAGTAAGAATAAAAATGAATGAATGAATGAAAATCAAAATAAATCAGAACTCAGACTCGGTGATATACCGATTAATAATAATAAAACAACTGGCATGACAATTATGTAAGGACGATTACTTAATTTTAACCTCTCCATCAATCCCAAAATACGAAGAGGTTATTGAAATCACTCCAAAATTCGAATTTGATATAACACATTTTGGGATCATAGGAACAAATAAACCTCATCTTTTTAAAGGGTTTCCAAATGTACAAGGTGTCTATTCGAGGACTGTTTTAAAAAAACACAGAAACAGATTGATTTTTATTACGAGTAGGCATTTTTTTGTTACATCCTCATTTGTCATATGTAATTTCTCCGTCAGTCCAACCAATACAAGTTAAAGAGGGAAAGCACCAAGTATGACACATCATAGAAAAGGGAATTCTATAGGGAATTCAGTAATATGACTGTTCGTTGCCTTAGTTTTAATGTTAGCGCCCTCTAGCATGATAAAAACTGTTACGTATTGTTAGCTAATTTTATTACTTATTCAACGCACTACATGTTGTAGTAGCCAACGGTTCTAGTGGAAAGGTTCCAGGTCCGATCCCTGGCCGATAAACTCATTTGTTATTATCATTATTTCTTGGCATTTTAAATTTTTTTGGTATGTTTTTAATTTGAGAATGTGGGAGAGTATTTGGTATCATTTTATAGTAAAAATAGTTAACAGTACAGTTAAAGTAGCTTTATAATTTTTAATTAACAAAACTATTATATTTTATTAATATTAAATTGCTGTTCCTGGAATGCCAATTTGTTTTACTAAATTGCAGAAATCACTATTTTGTTCTCTGTAACTAAATTTTCATGTAAACTTATTTTACAATGTTCTTACAGCAAGATTATAAAATAGTTTTCACAATAACTATAAAATTATTACATAAACATTTATGCAACTATTCCATGCGATATTTCAGCTAATAAAATTAAAATACTATATCTTAATTGTTGCTTTGAATCACTTTTAAAACTTTTTGGTTAAATACATACAACTGTTTTTACTTCCATAATATTACTTGAAAATAATTATACAGGGTGTTAAAAAAAAGTGTCACAAAATAAAACAGGGGGTAGTATGGGCCAAAATATGCAGAAAAGTCTTAATAAACATATGTCCGCAAATGAATGGTTTCAGAGATACGGAGTGTTTTGTGTTTTGTATCATTTTTTGATTATCTTTTTTCATTCTCAAAAACTTGCTTTTCTTATCGGAGTCTACCGATGTTTTTTCATAGATACTATTTGCAGTTATTATTTTGTTGTGGGTGAATAATTTTATAAATTTTCGTTATGCCTGTTTACACTAATATTGAATTAGTTGACATGCATTTTATGTACGGTCGTGCAAATGGCAATGCATTGATATGGAGGGAGGGCACTTTGATCATCTCATTTAACTCT